TTGTGCCTCCAATATCCATCCTTGCTGTGATTTATGGACGATATCTACGGAAACTAACCAAAGTCACCCAGGATTCCCTGGCACAGGCCACTCAGGTAACTGTCCTGGCCCGTCTTCTTCATCTTCTGTAGAGTAGGCGTAAAGCCAAGTCCTAAGGAAGTAAATACCGAACTATGTGCTCTAGCTTTTTCAGTCCTTCCATTAGCTTTTCCTGTTTGCTGAAATGTTCTTTTCAGGCTGGAGTACTACCTTAAATCTCTAAATAGATGTAATGTGACAGGGCACTGTATGGACCTCTGCTTAACATCACCAGGGCAAAAAACCAATTAATTGTATTTGAAATAATTTTCTTTTAAATTTTTATTTTATATTGGTTTGCTTACAAAAGTCATATACATTGTGTTTCACACTATCCTTTATTCACATTGTATTTCATACAATCATTCCCATTCATTATGTTTTAAAAAATTAATCACCATTGAACTATGCCCACCATTACCCTGTCCTTCCACATCCCCACTGGAATAATTCTTCTTTTAGTTTATGAAGCTGGTTGTGCAACCCTGTCCATAATTATCTTTTGAAAAAATTAAAAAGGGAAAACCCAAAAGCATACATGAACCTATTTCTCAGAGTTAACACTGTTAACATCTTGGAGCCTGCCCTTTGTTCCCCAGAAAAAAATGTCAAAATTTTATTGCTATTACATGCCATACATTGGTAACCATATACAAACATGTCTGCTATGTACAAACCGAGACTGTGAGGCCTTACTTTCAAAAACCACTTCAAAATTAGGTGCAGTAAATCAATACCGATTTACACTTAATGATATGGCTAGTTTTAATATAGTGTTAAATATTTTGCCATCTAGAGAAATTAATAACCAAGCTTCGATGGTTTTCAGTAGTTTTTAACATTAAAGAGACAATTATCCTGAAAAGATAATGCTATTTGTAGAGTTGCAGAAGTCACAGGAGAAAGGACTTTGGTATTGCACATTCACTGGATTCCTTGATTTCACACGGTAACTGGAAGACCAGCTTGCAGCTGATTATCTGATGCATCCCGCATTGCTTGTGCACACCAGCTGCACAAGGGTGGGCCCTCCTGGGAGTGACCTGACAGCCTCAGCCTCTGACTACAGCAGGGGATGTAGTTTTCTGTCCTGTGCGCACCAGGATGTCCTCCAGCGTATGGCCTCAGGCGTGCCCACACAGCACTGGACGGCTGGACTGGCCGAAGAGTTTGGGGCCGGAGAGCTAGTGCAGCAGCTTGGGGAATGCTCTGGGGAAGGCCCCAGCTTGGCCTTGGTGCATACCACCTGTGCCTCCATGCAAGCCTCCAAGCAGTCAGTGTGGCCGTTGATGTACCTCATCTCTGTGGCGTTGGTGTGGATGCACAGCACACCCTCTTTGTGCGAGGAGTCACCATGAATCTTGGGCCACGAACTCGTCCACGTGCTCCAACAGCTCATCCAGGCCCTTGTCTGGCTCCTGCAGCTCTGGTGGAGCAGCGACAGGTGGAGGCCGGCCATAAAGCTCTCCAGGCCTCATCCTCCCACAGTCGGTTCTGAGAGACGTGGCTGCTATCCCCACCCGAGGAGGCGTCTGGAAGCTCCAGCTCCTCGACCCCCTTGTTGGCCTCCGCTGCCAGGTCCCAGTGTCAGCTGTGCACAGCCGACTGCCCTTGCAATCCATTTGTGTAACAGTTATCTATTTCTGTCATCGTTACTATTAATCTTTTCTCTGTGTCTATTTGATGTGTGTATGTGCTTTGGGGTTTTGCAATCCATATGTAACAGTTTATTTCTTTTCTTTTCTTCTCCCTGCCTCTTTTTTTTTTTTTTTAAACAGTCCCTCCGTAAGGACTATCCACTTAGCTTTGTATCCAAAGACGAAATTTGTAGGTGAAAGGAGTTAGGAGTAGGCCTTCGTTACAGACTGGTTCATTTCAGGGTCGAAAATATGGAACGCTTCACGAATTTGCGTGTCATCCTTGCGCAGGGGCCATGCTAATCTTCTCTGTATCGTTCCAATTTTAGTATATGTGCTGCCGAAGCGAGCACGTAACAGTTTATTTCTATTATCATTCCTGTTAATCTTTTCTCTGTGTCCATTTGACGTGTGTATGTGCTTTGGGTTTTTGTTTTTTTAACAAAAATCGGGTTCTGTGTATTTTCTGCTTTGTAATACTTTTCTTAGTCTTATTATTATGAGTGGCATTACATTGATTGTGTCTTGAAAAGGAGAATTAATATTTTTATTTTGCTTCTTGAAACTGTGAAATGTAAGCACTCATACCAAAATTATTTCCTATTCCTCCAGCTAGCAGAGGAATGTATTGGAAATATAAGAACAGTTCGAGCTTTTGGGAAAGAAAGCCTAGAAATGAACAAGTACAGCGTCTCCGTGGATCACGTGATGCAGCTGGCAAGGAGGGAAGCACTTGCACGGGCTGGCTTCTTTGGAGCAGTGAGTACAGCATGTTAGAAAGGGTGAAAAGGGCAAGTTCTCTCCTTGTCAGAGAATTTTATTCTGTGGCTATTTCCATAAATGCAAATAATTGTGTTCAACTTCAAGTCTAAGAGTTACTTTATTGAAATGTTTTTGTGTCAGTAGAGGACTAAGTAATGAGAGCGTAAACTGTATGGGATAAGACTGCTTAGTGTGTTCCTGAGGAATCTGCCCCAGTACCACTAACTTCTGCTATCTGGGTTTGATCAACCCTCTGGCTTTGCTGCTGCCCATGACTGTGTGAGAACCACTAAGGAGGAAAAGAAATACCTTCAGTAAGGTCCAGGAAGAAAATATGAAAGATAATCCCAATAAACTCAAATTCAGCACAGGCAAATTAATACGTCAAAGGTCTAAACTGGAAAGAATTCTGAGGTGGCTCAATAATAACCCTCATTCAGCCTATGAGGAGGCAGAGGCATACAAAAAACAACATGTGTGATAGACCACTCATAGCTGACTCTCCAGTGGGCTTTCAGAGGCTGTAACTCACACAAGGAGATTCCCATTTTTCTCTCTAGGAGCAGTTGGTAAATATGAACTGCCCACATTTGGGTTGACACTGCAGCTCCTTATCCACTAGGCCACCGAGCTCCCTGTTAAAGAACAAATATGGACTGAGTGAATGTAAAGGTAATAATAAGAATAGTGGTGATGATGATGGTGGTAGTGATGATAATGATGCTGTGGTTTCAAGACCTTAGCTTTGTAGCCCAGATCCTTTGTCCATTATGCTTCAGTAAAATGTCTAACTGCATACATCAGGTATTTCTTTCCTCTCCAAGTGGAAGAAGTCTTAACTATTTTGTTATTTGCACACTGAGTAATTTCAGTGAATTGGCAGTCAAATGGGTTTTTGCAGTAATGAGGTTATTTCCTTCTATAGAACCATATTTCAAAAGTACTTATTAGAAATTCACATTTGCCTTTTACTCCAGAAAGATTGTGATTCCTCATTTGGAGTTTGGTTCCTGCTGACTGCTGTGTGTATTTGCTCACAGGTGGGACTCTCTGGGAACCTGATTGTGCTCTCTGTCCTGTACAAAGGAGGACTACTGATGGCCAATGCCCACATGACAGTGGGGGAGCTCTCTTCCTTCCTCATGTATGCTTTCTGGGTTGGACTGAGCATTGGAGGTACATAGTTGAACTTTATATAAAATGTAGCTAGATCCAGATCTGTGTTCATGGGGTCTCTGTGAGTCGGCTTGACTTGACAGCACTTAACAACAACGTAACAATTTAACTAGGTCTAGAAGCAGGAGTGGCATCCGCTTCCTCAACAACATGCCTCTGGAAACTCTAAGAACTTTGATAAATGGTGATAGGCTTTAGGTCTTTTGTTCATAGGGTTGCTATGAGTCGTGCTTGACTTGATGTCAATCAACAACAACAACAAAGGGAAGGTAAAATGAAAAATCAGCTTATGAAGGAAAACTTATATGTTATTTCAAAACTCATTGCCATGGAGTCAGAACCAACTTATAACTGACCTTCCATTATGTTTCTGAGATTGCAGATAACACGGGTAAAATGAAAAATCAGCTTATGAAGGAAAACTTATATGTTATTTCAAAACTCATTGCCATGGAGTCAGAACCAACTTATAACTGACCTTCCAT